TTAAACCCTAACATGTCTTTTATTCATTTAAACCCTAAGTCCCTACTCCCTAACGTATACTTTCTATTCATCTTTCAGTTTGTGTGTGATGTTTATGTGTGTGATATGTCTGTTTGTGTGTTTGAATTCTAATGACATGCTAGTATTAGCCCATATGTGTTTGTGCTTCACACTTTTTGGACTTATAATTATGGACAAATCCTTTACTTCTTTAGTTGTTTGTTACTAGTTTAACAATTTTCAGTTTATGTCTATATTTTTTGGAGGCATACGCTTCAAGGCTTATGCCTCGCCTCTTAGGTACAAACAGCCTTGATACCCGAACCTGCCTTTTTAAACCTTGAAAAAAGAACTATATCCTATTAATCCAACACGTCAAAGTAAGATTGTTAGTCTTTCCAATGACCAAAAGGATTTAGGAGAGGATCAGTGACTCAAACAATCTAAACTTTAAAGAATACCTTAGATAGAAGGACTAGCCTATAGCTTATCAACCGTGACTGTATATGATGCTTTCTTCGTACTAAAGACTTTTAAAAAACAAAGCTAAAAAAGAAAATGATAAGAATGCGCCAGGCACCTTTTGATTGAGATAATCAACGTTGAGTGCGAGATCAGAGAGCTGAATGGTGCCGGCGCTGAGCTGGACATCGAGCTGGTTGAGATCGATGTCTCCAAGTATGAATTTCCCCAGTTTCTTCTTCAACAAGAACTTGCACACTCTCTTCATCGCCCAGCGCGAAAACATGGCTTCCGCCGACCGGGCGATGTTCCAGGGAAACATCTTTCAAAATCGAATTCAACCAAAGTCAATTGAAGCGCGTATCTCTCCACAGAACATCGAGGGCGACGGAGAACGCCGGGCTGCTTCTGATGGAGGCTACTTCACACCTCCACCAAGCGAACGGGCGAGGGAGAATGACAGAGAATTGGAGGGTTTTAGAGAGAGAACCTTACGGAGGGACAACTTGGTGAGTCACGTTTGCTCACTAATTTTGTGTTCAAGTACTCCAACTTACAAGGAGTCATTGTTACTCCGTTAATTTTTATCCAAAAAGAAAGCATAGAAAAACACCGCTCCATCCACAAAGTTCTCCTCATTTTGACTTTATTGCAATTAAAGGTGAGAGTAAAATGTAAATGTATATTTGTAATTGAGTAAGAAAAAGATAATTGAATGGTTGTTACACAAAACTTTCCGAAGAGTGAAATGAGAAAAAGAAATTGGTATATCCCAAAAAGGTAATTGAGAGAAAAAAATTATTTGACAGAGAAAGTACTCTAGCTCATGTCATAAAATTTGATCAAAATAAACATAAGCGCAATGTTTTCAATGATTCATTTAACTGATTGATCTATTGAATTTTAACATGAAATTTGGTGGACATAACTACACTTCATAGAGAATATGCTCACAAAATTTCATCAAAGTATTCTACCTGCATTCAATCTAAATTGTTTCACTTTTAATCAATCCTTAGTTGATAACTTGGCCTAACTAGACTAGCTCTCTCTCTCTCTCTCTTTATATATATATATATATATATATATATATATATATATATATATATATATGTTATGGTTATAATAAAAAGAGTAATTCTCGTGAGGTTACTGTGCTTAGTGGGAGGTCTCGAGTTCGGATCCCGTTAGGCACATAAGGGCTAGAAACTAAATGGAATGAGTTTCAGCTCTGATTACTCCAGCCACTCCCCCAGACCCCCCTGGAGTAAAAAAAAAAAAGAGTAATTCCCGTGAAAAGTGCTAAGGGTTGTATTCTTTGTTCATTGTGGTGCATTGTTTGATATTTCTATTGCACTTTATGTGACTACATAAAACTTTGAATGATTTATCTAATTGTCATGTTATTTGTATGAAATCTAGTGCATTCTTGACTTATTTTGAGTCATTAAATACTAAACTTAAGACATAAGATTGTTTCTCATTTCCCAAGGACTCTTTTTATTTGATCCAAAATTAAATATGTAATGGAATGTGGAGACTTACTATTGATGGATAGTCTACCCGGGGGGTATCTTATCCGAGGGGTTATTGCGGGAATAACTAGAGAGAAGTCAGAGCAAATAGGAGGAGAGAGAGTCGATTTTATTAAATGAACTCAGCGTGTGTAGATGAGATGTAGATCCTGTTTTACAAGGAGAAATGGGCTGCTATTTATAGCAGCAATAAATGCGATGAGAGGACACGTGTCAGTAATCCAACGGCCGAAGGGTCACATCAACCGGTTGGCACCGGCAGTGGTACGTCCACCGCATTGATTGCGGTTGGCGGATGTGACGTGGCATTAAATGCGGTGGTTGGCTGTCTCCAAAAGGAATCTTCGATGATTGAGCTAGTTCGGCCGAAGGCTCCTGGTGTAGCCGAGGGCACCTTGTGTAGCCGAGGGCTCCTTGTGTAGCCGGAGGCCCTGTGTGACCGGAGGCATGGTTTGCCGGGGGCTTCTCTGATGCCGAGGGCTCTATAATGCCGAAGGCTCATGTTTTTCGCCGTTTTCTCCCAGTAGCCTCTTATGCCAGAGAAGGCTACCCTGTGAGGTTTGGAGCCTTCGGCTAAGGAGGCCGAAGGCACCCCAGTGCGTATTCTGAGCTACTTTGAGGCTTGGGCCGTGCATTTGGGCCTGAGTTGTTCCCTGAGCCCAACGGACTTGTGTAGGAGAAGTAGGAGTCTGTGGGCCGGGGGTTCCTGGGCCATATACTCCATCAGGAGTCCCTCACTCCTTTTGCCGAAAGGTACTTGAGGGAAAAGGAGTAGATGTGTTGATTCTTCCGGAGGCTCCATCATTTGGTTGGGCGCCTTTGCTTGAGAGCTGCCTCCTGCTTATTGCCGAAGGCTTCCCTCAGTCCCTCACACGTCGAGGGTTTTCTGAGGGAATGTATCCATGACCTTCGCATGTTCGCCGGGGGCTCCCCTCAGTCCCTCACATGCCGAGGGTTTTCTGAAGGAAGTATAACACTTGTATGAATGCCGGAGCCTCTCCTCAGTCCCTCACATGTCGGGGGTTTTCTGAGGGAGGCGCAAATAATATCTGTATGTGTTGTGATGAAGGCTGTTCCATTATTGTTAGTGACTTTGTGGAAAATTGCTGAAATTTTGCTTTGCCGAAGGGTGTAATGGTGTATGCACCCGAGGGTTACATGCGTTACTCGTGGGAATTTTTGTTTTTAGTCATGTATGATTCCCGAGGGGTGTATCCCAGTCCCCCACTCCTTTAGGCCGAAAGCTAGTTAGGGCTGAAGGAGTTAAGATGTGTTGATGCAAGCCCGAGGGGTGACAATATTGACAAGTGGCTCGAAGGCGTTCGAAGGCGTTTGGTGGAATTCATTGCCTGAAGGCTGTGGTGAATGATAACCGGAGGCTATCATTCGAGGGCACTCCAGTGCTTCTGAAATATAGTCGTTGTAATATAGCCGTTGGGAGAGGGTTCCACGTGGCGCATGGTCGTTGGCAGACGGGGGGCGGGTGCCATCCATTGGTTGGACCGGCGGCCCGTAATGATGGCCTTTTTAAATCGCGGCCCAGTTCTCGAGGCTGAAAGCCTATATATACCCAAGGCGTGAGTCATTCGTCGTCGTGCGATTTTATTGAAGCGAAGCTCTGCCCAAGTTTTTTCTAGAGAGAGAAAGTCGATATCGATCAAACCCAACTTTCCGAGGTCAGTTCTCCTCCTGTTCTTGAGTACTTTTGTAAGTTTTGCTCTTCTGTCCTTAGATCGAGTGTTATAGTACCCCTAGGGTTTTTAGAGATTTCTTCCCAACCCTTCGACTACCAATCTCAACATGTCCTCCGAAAGCGACTCGCAAAACATCTCGAAGGAACCGTCGGCGCAGAAGGAGAGCTATTCGGACGTGGAGTCTTCTAGTGAGCAGCTGTCGACGAATGATGACCTTGCAGTAGCTGAGGAGGTACAAAGCAGGCTCCGGGCGGAAATGGAGGCAGAGGATTTTGAACAAGTGGTAGAGGACGAGGAAATGGCCCTCGCTCTTCAGGTGGCGGAGGAGGAGGAAGAAAAAGAGAGGCAACAAGTGACAATTGCCACACTCCCCCTTCGTGGTGCCGGCGAGGCTAGTAGCTCCCGGCCCTTGGATCCGGAACCCATCAGTGTCGCCCCGGAAAAGCGAAAGAAGAAGACGGGGGCTGCTCCAAAGAAGAAGAAGGAAGCCGCAGTCGACGCTGGGAAACCTGTCGACATTCCCGAGGGCTATTCTTACCTGAACGTCGCTGCTCTGGATTTGAAATCGAGGGCTCTCCCCTCAGAGTACCTGACGGCTCAATTCCTTGTCGGCCCGCAAGCTCGTGTCATAGAGCCGAAGCCTAATGACTTACTTTCCCACGCACCCGAAGGCTGTTTTGCGGTCCACTTGCTATCCTTGGAACTCGGCCTCCGGTTCCCCCTCCATCCATTCTTGATCGAGTACCTGAGGTTCGTGAAGCTGGCCCCTTGCCAACTCACTCCCAACAGCCACTCATACATCGCTGGCTTCTTATCCCTTTGCCGTTCCCGGGAGATCGACCCGTCGTTGGACTTGTTCTTTATGTGCTTCAACCTCTGCCGGGGGGGCACACCCATGCCGAGGGTTTCGCCAACCTGCAGCAAGTCCCGGAGTGGAGGTTGTTCTCCGAGGTCCCGTCCTCGCATAAAGGGTGGAAGGACAAGTTCTGCTACGTCCGGATGGCCGTGAACCCCTTTCCGGGGCCTCTCAAAGATCGTTTCCGGAGGCATTTAAAAGTGGGGAGTGCTGCCCTCCAAAAAGCCGGGAAGAAATTGTCAGCTAAGCCCGAGGGCTCTGATAAGCAAGTGACAATCAAAGAAGTCACTCTCCCGGATGAGTTGTATAAGCTGGACTTTAGGCGCTACCGTCGCTTCGGGGAGAAGGATGAGAGATACCCCCTCATCGACATGGTTCCACAGAGTGCTGAAGGTTGTTGCCGAGGGCTCTACGCTCTTATACTTAGCACATTTTCTTGTTATGTAGTGAATCTAATACATGTGTATTTTGCAGGACCCGCCATGGATCTAAAGGCAATCACTGCCCTGAGGAACAAGCTAGACAAAGAGCAGAAGAAGAAGGACGCCGGCCTCCAGAAGCCAGTTGATGCCTTCTTTAAGAAGGATGGTGCTGCCCCGGTTGTCGAGGGCACTTCCAAGGGCGCGGGAGAAGGCCCTCAGGTCGAGGGGGGGACCAGGAAAAGAGCCGGCAAAGGCCAGGTGCCCCCGGAAAAGAAAAGGCCGAAGAAGGGAGCTGCCGAGAAGATCGACATTCCGGTGCTGAATGTAGAAGAGCTGTCTTCCTCCCAGGCGCTGGTGTCTACCCCCCCTCGCTCCCCCGCTGTTCCTGTTGCCGGCGAGTCATGGCCTCGAGATAGGTCGCTCCGCGAGGAAGGGGGCTGCCATCGCGCATGGCACCTTGGACCCGAAGGAGTTCCTAAATGGTGCTACCCCTCCGCTTGATAGGTCGCTCCTCGGCCGTTATGGGGATGAGGCCCTTGAGTCAAAGCTCCTCCAGGCCTCCGTTACAGTAAGTGTCCGAGGCCATCTTCCTTATGCTAAGTTTGCCTTAGTTATTCTTGCCTTGCCTTATCTGTTTTCTAACATTTGTTGTTGTGTTCGCAGGCTAGCGTGTTCCTCGGAGAACACGTCCGGAGGCTGGAGCAAATGCGTGCTCGCAAGGCGGAGGATGACGAGGCCCTCAGGAAGCTCGTCGCGACAAATACCGAGGCCATCCGACAGGTGGCAGCGCTCGAGGAGACCCTCCGGCTAGAGAGGGAGGCCGTGGCAGCGAAACTTGAGGGCGCTAAGGCCGAGGGAAAAGCCGAGGCGGAGGCAGCAGCTGCTGCGGCAGCCAAGGAAGCAGCCGAGGCCGCAGAGAAGTCGAAGGCGGAGGCGGCATCTCAAGCTGTCGCAGACTTTGTTGTCGGAGGATGGAGGGGGGAGGACCAGGAGGCGTGGAGGGCCGTAGTTGTCCGGGAAGAAGTCGATGCCTGGGTCAAGGGCCCCGGTGCTGAATGGCTGGCGCTGAAGGGCAACGAATATTGGCAAGGGGGGAGTTCTTCACCCAACGCCTGATCTACCGAAAGCTTGCCGCGCATCAAGGGGTCGACTTGAAGGACTTCAAACCCGACTCATTCGGCTTGCCCCCGCTCCAGCCGGATGTCAGAGTTCCCCTGCCCGAAGGCATGGAGAGGCCCATCCTCCGAGACTCTTTGCTGCTGCAGGAATGCGGCGGAGACGAGGAAGAGGCTGGCGATGATGCTACTTCTAAAGCTGCCGAGGAGGGGGCCTCAACTGCTGATACTTAGAATTTTCGTAGCATTTTTAATGTAATACTCACGTCAGCTATCGGCTTCGGCCTTAATGTGTAAAGAAACATCTTTTGGTACTTGAATATTGGTTTTCAGTGATGAATGATTTGCCTTCGGGCCTTTTCTCAACGGATGTCTCCTTTCTTTTCGAATTTGAATGCATGCCTTTGTTTCTTTTTGTGTATGAATGTATGCTTCTTCCTTTCTTCCATATGAATGTCTGCTCTCCCGGAGGCCCCTAGTTTGTGGACTTAGTAATTCTTTCTAAGTGCAACTCCTAGCTAGCCTCCGGTTGTGGTGTAAGATCGCCGTGGGGTCGTTGTTTGTGGACTCAGAAACTTTTCACAGCAAAATTTTTGTCAAGACCCCTTCGGGTGTAGCGTAAAGCCCCAGAAAATAATCCGAGTAAAACTTCATTGGAAGCCTTCGGTAGATAATCCCTGTAATGCTCCCGGGGTGAAGTGAAAGGACCGAGGGCTAAAATTTTCCAAGTGAAATTGCATCTTATGCCCCCGGAAGCCTTGGAAGCCTTCGTTTAGTAGTGTAGCTTCGGGCCACTGCCAAGTAGTTTCAATAGGTGCTGTAGTGAACCTTCGAACGTGGGAACTGCCTGAGCCCCCGGTGCATATGGTTGCCGAGGGGTTCGAGATTATGGACTTGGTGAAATTCTGAGATGTTTCCCACAGATCTTGTGAGTAGCCCCCCAGTTCGTTGAATGAGCCTGGTGGCATTCTGCCTTCGGTATGAGGCCTCCGGCTTATGTAGATATAGGTTCAGCCTGCCTTAGAACTTTGTGGGGCCTTCGGCATGCCACATAGTTGGCTTTGATCCAGCCGGCTTAGTAAGCCTTTTTCTTGGGCCTCCGGCGGAAATCTTGTACTCCCAGGTTTCATGTAGTGAAGCCTTCGGCTATGCAGCCAGATGACTTGTTGTTGCGAGATTTTCTTGTGCCTTCGTAGGAGCCTTCGGGAATAGATATCCGAAGTGTTGAGCCTCCGGGGAGAATAGTATCCGGGGAGTTCCTTCCCTCCTACACATCTTTTTTTTTTTTTTTTAGATGGTGTAGGAGAGGCATCTAGAAACTTGGTTTCTAGGGAAGGCTTGGCCTATATGGGAGGCAACGGAACAAACCGTTGGCTCCCCCTTCGGGAATGACCTTCCGATATCCCGAAGGGTTTGAGGGTCGTTTCCTCGGCCCGAGACATCGTCTGTTGCCTGCTTCCCCTTGGGGGATAGCGCGGAAAGCGCATCGGTTTTGAAAGTCGTCCCCTCAGCCCGAGACATGGTCTGTTGCCTGCTTCCCCTTGGGGGATAGCGCGGGGAGCGTTTCGTTTGTGGAAGTCGAATCCTGGGCCCGGGACATGGTCCGTTGCCTGCCTCCCCTTGGGGGATGGCGCGGAAAGCGTTCCTGGGAAGGGTTTTATTTGTGTGTGGGACACAAATAGCCGGGGGCACTTGGTACCAGCCGGAGCCGAGGGGTGTTGCACCCCCCGGTTTTTTTTTTTTTTTTTTTTTTTTTTTTTAGGAGGAGAGTATGTAAAAGTTTGAGAAAACACTTGGTGTTTTCAAAGAGTGATGGGGGTGACCCATACACCTGGTACTTGGTACCTAAATTGTTGTTTCCCCTCATAAGAGGGAGTGGCCTTGGGCCTTTTATGGTGAAGAGATGAGGGGGCCCTGGGGCCTCTTGTATAATATGTAGGTGGTGAAGGCTTGGCCTTTCGATTATTCTTCAGAAACAGATGGGGCCTTGGGCCATTGATGTTTACACTTGCTGAGGATGAGGGCTTGGCCGCTCATGCCTTATTGATAGAATTTGACAAGGTGGTGCACATTCCAATGTCTAGGGACCTCCGTCCCATTGGGGCGTTTAAGCTTGTATGTCCCCGGTTTGATGATGGCTGAGATGATGTAGGGGCCTTCAAACTTGGGCGCCATCTTTCCTCCTTCGGTGGGTAGACTGGCCTCCCTTCGTCGGAGGACGTAGTCTCCCACCTGGAATTCCCGGGAGCGGACCTTGGCGTCGATGTAGCTTTTGACTTGTCTCCTATAGTTTTCGGCCCTGAGGAAGGCTTGCTCTCGGCGTTCTGAGATGAGATGAAGGTCGAGGGCCATGTTGGCGTCGTTGACCTCAGGCTCATATTGTTCCACCCTTCGGGTGGGAAGAGTTACTTCTGTTGGAGCCTTAGCCTCGAAGCCATAGCATAGGGAGAAGGGTGTTTCGCCTGTTGCGCGCCGAGGGGTGGTGCGGTAGGCCCATAAGATGTTGTGTAGCTCTTCTACCCAGCCTCCCCCTTCGGCTTCCAGCTTCTTCTTCAACCCTTCAAGTAGGGTTCGGTTGGCGTTCTCTACTTGCCCGTTGCCTTGGGGGTAGGCAACGGATGAGAAGGTGTGTTTGATGCCCCATGCTTCCAGGAGGGCACAGAAGGGGGCTGCCTCGAATTGAGTGCCGTTGTCGGAGATAATTTGCTGGGGAACGCCAAACCTTGTGAGAATATTTTTGAGGACGAAGTGGCGGCACCGGGCCTCAGTGATGCTGGCGAGGGGCTCGGCCTCTACCCATTTGGTGAAGTAGTCAATGGCCACAATGATATACCTGTTATTGGAGGTACCCCTCGGCAGTGGGCCTACTAAGTCAATACCCCATCTAGAGAAGGGTATAGCGGTGCTGATGGGGGCATAGTTGACCGCTGGTCTGCCGGGGGCCTTCTGAAAGTGTTGGCAAGCGGTGCACCTTCGGGCTAGATCAGCACAATCCCTAGCCATCGTGGGCCAGAAGTAGCCCTGAACTATGAGCCTTCGGGACATGGAGAAGGGCCCCTGGTGAGCTGAGCAAGTGCCACTGTGCACTTCCTCCATGGCGACTTCGGCCTCATCTTGGTGAAGGCACCGAAGGAGGGTGCCGTTGTAAGATCTCTTGTAAAGCCTCCCGTTCTCGAGGGTGTAGCTGGGAGCCCTCAGTTTTGCTAACTTGGCGCGGGCTTCGTCTTGGGGCAGTTGCCCTGTGGTGATGAAGGTGATGATGTCAGAGATCCAGTCCTCCGGCCTCAGGTTAACGCTCATGACGGGGCTCGCGTGGATGCTTGAGAGGCTAAGTTCCTCAATTCTTGCAATTTTTGAGAGGTGTTCGGGGGATTCATCCGAAAGCTTGGATAGAATGTCGGCCTCGGAGTTTTGAGCCCTCGGTATTTGGGTGAGAGAATGTGCCTCAAACACCTTGAGCAACTCCTTAGCCGCTTCTTTGTATTGTTTCATCCTTCCTTCCTTGGCTTCGTACTCCCCGGAAATTTGACCCACAACAAGTTTGGAGTGACACTTGACGTGGATCATCTTAGCCTTCAGATTCGCTGCCAGCCGAAGGCCACAGAGGAGGGCTTCATACTCGGCCTCGTTGTTGGAGACTTTGAAGGAGAAGCGGATGGCATAATATGCGCGGAAGCCCTCAGGTGTGATCAGGACTACTCCCCCTCCGCATGCTTTGGTGGCTGAAGAGCCATCGGTGTAGAGGGTCCACCATTCGTCAAGGGGTGCCGAAGGCTCCTCGTCAGTTGCTGATCTCGCGGTGCATTCCGTCACGAAGTCCGCCAGGGCTTGGCCCTTAATGGCAGGCCTCGGACGGATATCTATGTTGTACTGACTGAGGAAGATGGCCCATTTCACCATTCGGGAGGAACTTGTGGGGCTTCTCATGAGGGCGCCGAGGGGTTGATGTGTGAGCACTTGGACCGGATGAGCTTGAAAGTAGTGGCCAAGCTTCTTGACGGTCCAAACGATGGCTAGCACCGTCTTCTCGACGGGAGAATACCTGAGTTCGGCCTCCCGGAGGGTTTTGCTGACGTAGAAGATGGCGTGTTGGACGCCGTCCTCCTCTCGGATTAGCACTGAGCTGATGGCAGCAGGGCTAACACCAAGGTACAAGTATAAGGTCTCCCCCACCTTCGGTTTGGAGAGCACCGGGGGAGAAGAGAGGTACTTCTTAAGTTCGTCGAAGGCCTCTTGACACTCAGATGTCCATTGGAAGCCAGCGGTCTTCCTCATGACTTGGAAGAAGGGGAGGGCCCTCTCGGCTGACTTAGAGAGAAATCGGTTGAGGGCCGCCAGGCGACCCGTCAACCGTTGAACTTCTTTGACGTTGCGTGGGGGCTCCATGTTGATGATGGCCTGAATTTTCTCAGGGTTGGCCTCAATACCCCTTCGGCTTACCATATAGCCCAAGAATTTTCCACCTTGTACGCCGAAGGTGCATTTTTTTGGATTCAACCGGAGGTTGAATTTTTGCATGATGGCGAAGATTTCCCGGAGGTCGTCGGCGTGAGTGCCTGCCTTCCTGCTTTTGACGATCATGTCGTCAACGTAAGCCTCCATGGTGCGTCCTAGGACAGCTTGAAACACCCTAGCCACCATGCGTGTGTAGGTAGCGCCTGAATTTTTTAGACCGAAGGCCATCACAAGATAGCAGAAGATGCCTTCGGGTGTCATGAAGGCGGTCTTTTCAGTGTCTCCCTCATGCATGTAGATTTGATGATATCCGCGGAATGCGTCGAGGAATGACATGATCTCGCATCCCGCGGTCTCATCCACCAGTTGATCACTGTTTGGCAGAGGGAAGGGGTCCATAGGGCATGCCTTATTCAGATCAGTGTAGTCCACGCACATGCGGAAGGTAGGGGGCTTCTGTGCGAGGACTACGTTTGCCAACCAAGAGGGGTATTTCACCTCCTTAATGTGTTTGATGGAGAGGAGCATGGATACCTCCTTCTTCACGAACTCCCTTCTCTCGGTCGAGAGGGGTCTTCTTCGTTGCTGCACTGGTTTGGCCGAAGGGTCCACCGCTAGGCGGTGGGTGATAACCCTTCGGTCAATTCCCGGCATGTCCTCCGGCCCCCATGCAAAAACAATGGAGTAGGCGCGGAGGGCTTCGGTGATGCCAGTCTTCAGGTCTTCGGGGAGCTTGGCTCCAATCTTCAGGACCCTCTCCGGCTTCGCCGGATCGAGTATCAGGTCTTCGGTCTCCTCGGCAGGCTCAGCCCTCGGCCTGCCTTCTTCTTCCTCCAAGGCCCTGGTGGTGATGGTGTCCACACGTAACTCTGTTTTACTAACCTTCTTGGTAAGTTGAAGGTAGCAGGCCCTGGAGAGTTTTTGATTCCCCCTCGAATAGCCGATGCCGGTGGGTGTGGGGAATTTGAGGCAGAGGTGTCTCATGGAGATGACGGCTTCTAAGTCCTCGAGGGCAGGCCGGC